CTCCCTTAAAACAAAACCTAGTATTCACTGTCACTTCCCTCAAGTTTGGCTTCTTCCTTACTTTCATATAATTGGGTTAAGATGCTTGTGTTAATCCATACTACTCAGGATCCAGACACTTCCAGCCTCGCCCTGAGCAGTCATGTGATCTTGCTAAAGTTACTTCTGCCTTTCAGTCTTCTTTTGTACAGTCTGTGAAATTTAAAATGGAATTGTATTTGAGGCTTATGTGAGTACCTCAGTTAGAACAGCACCAAGTACATAGTACTTGCTAAATGTTAACTGTTCTCTGTCTTCTTTATCAAATCAGGACCTTGGAGCCCCATTTAACAATTCTTCAATTTTGTAGGAAAAACCTCTGTTTTATGAGTTATTAGTAAAAGAAAGAAAATCTAGAAACTGCTGCTGTGGAAGGGACAAACAGTAGAGAGAAGAAAAGTTGGATAAAGCTGGTGGGGCAGTATGGCTCCCGGTTTAAGTGGAGATTTATGGTGTCCTGGGTCTCATTTAAGACACACAGCCAAAACTATTTATTGAGAGTAGGACCAGAGCTCCAAGTTTCAGGTAAAAATGAACACTTGCTTGAAAGAGAGTAGAGGAAATTAGGTACAGAAACAGTCAACAATTTGGATACAACTAAGATCTATGAGAAAATGAAAGGGCTATGACTTGGAGAAGCTGAGTTGCCCATGGAACCAGGTCCATACTAACTGGGGCTTTCTATAAAGTTTGTTGATCCAGAGCACCTGTAGTGTTACAATAGCCAGAGAAGCTCCAGGCAGCCGCTGAAGGTTGGAAACAGGGATCATAGACCCGGTGTGTGAAGGGTAGTATGAGACAATGGAAAACCTTGGCTGTGGGTCTCAATCTCATGTGAGCCACTGTGACATCCATGAGATAGGAAAGAGAGAGATAAAGCCACAGAGATAGCGGCTTGAGAGAAACTGAATCTTAGGCTGATCCAAGCTGCTCTGGTCAGCAAAGACAAAGGACCCCAAGGACAACCAGTGTTTATTCATTACAAGCATGGGAGGGAGGGAGGGTGAACCTGTTGATAACAGTTTATCACAGGCAGGACTATAGAATCAGGGCACTATCATATCTTTGCTGAAGAGCAAAAGTGGTTAATTCATAGGGAAGCATTTAGTCGGAGTCAGTTGACCTTGGCTGGAAGTGAACTCAGCCAAGCTCTGCTACTTCCAATGTAACACAGCCAAACTATGGAGGGGCAAGAAGTTTGTGCCACTTATAGCCTGCCAATACTGGGCAGAGGTGTCTGGTACATCTCCTCCTTCCTGTTTTGGAAACAGCAGCAGTTGCAGCAGCACCATTCGAGGCTGCATGGTATTTAGTCATCAGTTGGTTTTAGATCCTCCATTGCCTGACAAGTCTGTTTGTCTCTGGGTCTCAGCAGCAGGTGGTGCATTGTGTCTGGTGAATGGTGCAGGTCTGAATTTCTTCTGTATTTGAGCACAAGCATACTCTGGCCCCTATGCTATTAATTGTATTGAGCCATTTTACCTTTCATTTAGGACATCTTTTGACCATGCTTGTGTCTAGAACATGTCTGTAGATTTATCTTTGTATCAGTTGAGCGTATTTACTTTCCACAAGTGGATTTAAAAATTTTTACATGAAGGTAACAAGAGAAGGTAACAAAATCTAATTGAGCTCGTGGAGATAGTTGTAGTTTCCTTTTATGTTTATGTAATTGTGTTTTTAGGGAATGGTGAGTATGCCCAACGATGGCTTGTCCCTGTGGATTTTGAGGACCTGTAATATGTGTAACTGACTTAGCTGTCTATAACGTTTTATGAGAAAGGGTGCAGTTTCAACCCACCTGCTTCAAGCTGAGAAGTGTTGATGTGTGAAAGACTGAAGTTAAAAACTTCTTTGAGGGAACTAATTTAGTAGACCTTAAATGAAAGTTATGTTGTAATTTACCAATTACAAACTGTCTTTATGAAGTCAACTTGGTGGATTTTGGTAAAAAAGTTCTAATATATATGTTGTTGATATTATCTGTATGATCACTTGGAGTTTGGCAGTGTATAGGCAGAAATAAACAAGGTCTTTAAAGAAATTAGATCATGTATAGTTAAAGTATAATCACTAAAATAAAAACGTGTTTGGGAAAAAAGCCATCTTTAGAAACTTCTTTTAAGGGACTAAAATAGCAATTGGAATTTTTTGGCTCTTAGACCCCTCCACCAATGGAAATTAATTATAAGTCCAATATTTTGTCATTTTTTTGGTAATTTGAGCTGTAAAAATATTAAAAGTTTAATATTATTTTAAAAATTTGAGCTAAAAATTTAAAAACATAAATTTTATCATAGGTTTATCTAATGACCCGTAATAGTGGTTAGCCACCAGTGTATCTGGAAACTGCCAGTAGGGGTTAGCAATTGGAGCCTTTTAAGAAGCCTAGCCACATCATTATGGCCTTGACTTTACATATCTTTTAGTTATATTTATTTTGAGGGGGGTACCAGTGATCAAACTCAGGGCATTGCACTTGCGAGGGAGGTGCGGTACCACTGAACTTAATCTCCAGCCCCTAGTTAGACTATTTTACTGGGTGTTTAAGACTAAGTTAAGGTGAGACCTGTATTAAATAAAATCAATCTCTTGCTATCTGTCAAGGTCAATTAAGTCTCCTCAGGCATAACTTGGAACCATGCATAGAGTCTCTCAGATCCTGTCAATGTCAGCTGTCAGGATGTGTCACAGCCTTACTTGACCATGTTGCTTTCATGTGAAAGCATGGGAGATTTTTCCTTCCAGGTGACATTCCTTTGGCAAACTGTACATTGTTGATTCTTATCTTTTTGGTGTCCAACAATCTCCCAGCTCAGGAGGTTGGGTGACTTACCAAAGTTGTAGGATATCGTAGAAAAAGTTCTCTTATATCCTGTGTTTTTCTTTTTTACCTTGGAGTGCCAGGGCCAAAATATTGGCTGGCTTCCTAGTCCAGTTACCTTTCTGGTCCTGGTCTCTAAGCTTTAGTTGTTGAACACCCAGAAGAGAAGATCAATAACATTAGCATTGCAAAAGGAGTAATATACTTAAGTATTATAATTTTAGCTGGATATCAAACACCTTGAAATATAAAAATGGTTAGAGGACCGATATTTTTATCAATAATGGTTGTTCTAGTAGTTGAATTCCTGTAGAATGTTAACAGAAAAAACTTTAAATCAAGGGCCACATACAATATTTTAGCATGACAATGAGGGTGATATCATTTTTATAACACACATAAATTTCTCTCAGTATAAAATAGCCACTGTTAAGCATAGTCATCCCTCCCCCAAAACACAACACCTCTTACCTAAGTTGTTATCTCTTAATAGGATGCCATCTAAGGAAAATGTAACAGCCTATAAGTGTACCTGTTATTATAAGTAGCTGGAGCATAAGAGAAAGATAAATACCTAAATGAAAAGGAGGTTATTACCATAAACAATATGTTGGAAGACCTATACAGTCAGAAGGCATGAATACCTTTAGTACATCAGAAAAGTAGCAATAATAAATATCACAATTATATGAAACCTCATATCCTTTAATTTATTTTGGTACCAAAAGCATCTTTTTTTTGGATACTGGGAATCAAACTCAGTACCTTGAGCTTGTAAGGTGGGCAGCAGAACCACTGAGCTAAATCCCCAGCCCACAAAACCATCTTTTAAATAAAACCTTTATTGTTTATGTCACAGAAAATGTAACTTTTTGAAAATGACCAATGTAAACATATCACAATAATATGTGCAGCAATGCTTACTGGGGCAAGACTTTTATAAGGCTATGAAAACTACTGGCATCATCCCAGTGAACAAAAGCTGGAAAATATGCCCAGGTGGCCACTCCTTTATTCACCAAGGGGAGTCCTGTTAAGTAGCCTCTCCAAACCTAAGGATTTAATTACCTTGACCACAATTTTTTCTGTTGTTCTTATAAACATTTATTTTTCCTCCAAATTTATTGTGCTTTTCTATAATGATGTGAAAAGTCTTCATTTCCCTTTTCCCAAGTGTTGAAGTTCAAAAAGTCAGGTCTTAACCACAGACTAATCTTCATCTCTTCAACGTCTTACATGTTGATTTAGTTTCATATGTATTTATATTTGACCACAATTTTTAGTAACCTATTAAAATCATATTGTAACAACTAGTACATTATTTTAACCAATAAGTTTTTGAATTATTATGTATAGACAGCAGTATGCATTACATTTATAAAATCAATCTTGACATCATTATGATCAGCTAGGAACCTGGGGGAAAAAGGCATGTCTTTAACCTTAATAACTTTTATCTATAAGCCAATTTAAATGATACGCATATATCTTCTAAGTGAAAACTTCAAATGGAAAAAAATTATTGAGCTCAACGAAAGAAACTATGATTGGACAGACAGAAGACTTTCTTCTGTGAGTCCCACTTTGCCCTCTCATCATGGGGAGCTGTGGCTCTTAATTCTCCCACAGGAAAACACAAGGATGTTAAAAAATTCTCCCTTATCATTGCAGCCTTTCCTATGACATGGAAAAAGTGAGTGAGAGGAAACAGCAGTAGTTGGCAGTGTTATCTGAGGAGGTGGTGGGGTTAAATTGCTCTCCTCTTTGGGAGGGGCTGAAGCAGCTGGAGGTTCAGGAAAGACAGTCACCAAAAGAGCAGGTCGGGGAGAGAATAGTGTCAGGAGGGGTTCAGGCTGAAAGGAAACACTCTTCTTGAGCAAGAGTCAGCTGACAGTTGGAAATATCAGTCATGATTGCACAGTCCAGTATGGTCACTGTATCCACTTCAGCCACCATAACCATGGGCGAGACATGACCAAGGCCACCACAGGTGCCATCTTAACTGAGAGCACAACCATGTTGAAGGTGATGAAACCTGCCTCTAGTGCAGGTAGAGCCATGGGATTGACTGTGGCCCACCGAGTGGGCTAAAGTGCAGGAGCTATCGCCCAAGGAGCAATTGATGTTGTACTTGCAGGTGCTGCTGCCTCTGAAATGGCTAGAATCATTTCAGGCACCATCATAGCTAAGGGCACAGCTGTTTATTCTGAGCTAATTGGAGCAGAGTTAAAACCAAGAGAAGTAAACTGCAAGAAAGTAAAGTTTGAGAAGAAAGAGGATAACCTCTTCAGTGAACAAATGTCAAGCATACGGTAAGACGCTACTTTTGCCCTTCCAGGATAAGGCTGAAAACAACTGCTATTTTATGTGATATATTATAGACAGTATTGAGGGGAAGTCATACATTGGTTTCCATGTTTTCACTTTCCGTATAATATTCACTTCACTTTTACTGTGTGATTATACATTTTCCTTTTAATGTCACAGTATAATTGAGAGCATGCAGACTTCCTGTTCACCCATTTTGCCACCTCTTTATCAGTACAATAGACCACATGATTAAGAAGTAGTCATGGATTTCTACTTATATTTCCATATTATTTTGTGCCTTTCCTCATGTTCTACAGAACATGTTTTAAAGAGAAATGATAGGACTTAGGTTACAATTAGAGTATCATGTCAACACACTTTTAAAATCATATGTATACATACAAACATATATATGTGTATATATATATATATATATATATAGTGAGAGAAAGAGGAGAGAATTCAATCATCACTTTGACCTTATTCCCTACATCCTTGTAACCAAGTGAGCCTCACAACCAGATTAAAGATTTATGATGTTCTCAGAAATTTTCAACTAGTCAAAACTTTTTCATCCTAATATGAAAATCCATGCAAACATAATCCTCTGTTATTTCCTAGAACTTTAGCCAGGGTGTTCCACTACCATACATTTCTCATGTCCTGCTTCCTTCAGGAGGAGAATCAGACCAGTCGGAATTTTCTGCAATCATATTTCTTTTTCTTCATGTTTGGTGAAATCTTTTTTATTGGTGTTAAAAAAGAACCATACATGACCAAATTTTTAAATTGTTTACCTCAGTATTTAAGGAAAGAAGGCTCAATAATTCTTGAAGAATTCCAACACAATAGAAAGCGGGGGGTTCTTACCTGCATTTCCACTTGTGTACATTTTTTTTATCGAGCTAGTCTTTTCTGGTTAGCATTGGTGTGTTTCTCCATTTCATCAAGAACTGTGGGCCTCTTGCAGGTACAGCATAGGATGCAATACAAGCTTTCCTGTGCCCCTCTTCAGGGGAAAGGAACTGAGCTCTTGCTGCACTGAAATTCCTGGAAGCATCCTGAACCACCTACTGGTAATCTATGAAAATATTGTGCTGAAAATACATTACTAAAATATAGTGAGTCTTTAGACAATTTGAAAGTAATCTACTTCAAATTTTGAGCTTGAAATGAGTGTGCTAACCTAACTGAACATAGTATGAACTGCACATTCATTTTGCTCTAACAAAGGCTGAAAAGTAAATGTTCCAAGAGCGACATGGGCCACAGAATTTCCCACACTGTCTTCTCCTCTAATGTTAGATACCAGTGCAAGCAGCAAGAGCTCAGTGCCCAGCCAGAAACTGGTTCTTAGAGCTATGTGCTGTTACATGCTGGTAAGTAAGCTGTGCTGTAATGTAGAACTAGAAAATACTTGTTATTTACTCAGGAAAGTCTGTTTAGTGGCGGCACAGATTTGCAATAAGTTAACTTGTCTTTTTAGCTAAATTTCTCACCTGGTCCAGTTTGTTTTATACTTTTCTTCTGTATAAAGAGAGTTTCTCATCTTTTAGTTTAAAAAAAAAAGGTATAACTAATTTTTTGGCTTTTACTTAATGGAATTCAACTTGGCAGATGATTTATTTTTAAAATTAGAATTTTACTTCATTTTTATATTGGTAATCCATCAGATAATTAGTAGCCCCCTTTACTGTTCTATGGCACTTGTATCATGATTCATCAGTTCTCTTTTTTTTAATTTCTTAGTGGCTGCTCAGAAGATATACAACAACTTTATCCATGTAAGTAAATAGTTGGAAAGATAAGAACCCAAGAGTTTGAGCCAAAGCATGTCTGCCATGATTTTTAAACAGTATAATTAAGACCCCATAGTGTTGCCATGAACTTCTTTTTCTGCAGTTTGTAAATCTCTTGTATTTTCCTACAATGTGATTCAGTTTACTCAGGAAAGTCTTTGACTTAATAATGTCCATTTTTTTAAGGGTTGGTGGTATTTAAGTTCCATTACAGTAATGTGGATATAGTGTAAACATCTACCTGAAATCTTTTGCCTTAACTTTTCTAGCCTTTTTAAAAATCAAGGTAAACTAATACATCAATATTTAGGACTATGGTATCTGTTGTTTCTGTGTTATAATAGGTGAATGTTTAGCTGCCTCTTTCCTCAGTGACCTTTCCCACCACTCCCATTTTCTGGACATGTATCACATTTTAAAATTTAAATCACCCATTGGTATTTACATTATGCCTGTTGTTCACTGCTGAGTCATGTAATGGTCTCTCACTATGCTGCCTCTTTGTACACCTTAATTCTATCTTTTAAGTATTTCTGAACTCTAAGTACTTCTGCACTTCTCTTGGATGATAAGCAGCGTTCGATCACAAAGCCAAGCGAGCACAGTAAGTAACCCCAGCTAGTCTTCCTGTTTTCATGTTCTTCTTTTTCTATATGGGGAATTAATTTCCTATCTTCACTTGGACTGTTTTCTCACGGCTGTTTACCCCTGGAATGTTGTAACATCTGTCACATGCTGAGCAAGCCACTCTCTAGGTCCTACAACACATCTGTTTCATTTTGCTCCTGAAAGCAGCCCTCCTAGGTCTCTGTCACCCTAGGTGAGCAAGGCTGGCTTTTCCTTAGGCCTGCTGCCTGGCTCTTTCTCTGGGATGCCTCCTGGAGGTCATCTGGGTCTCACACAACTGCTCTCTTGTGCTTGGTCCTCTCTGTCCTGGATTCTTCTGTTTCCTCTGTCTTGCTGCACTCCCATTTTGCTGGAGAACATTTTCCTGGAAAGGGAACATGGATGGTTTTAGAGATCTAGGCTGTCAGGCAAAACCTCCTGTTGGATAAAACATAGATTTCTAGGGTGAAGTTAATTTTCACAAAGCTCTTCTCATTTCTAGTGTTGCTCTGAAATTGATTGCCATCATATTATACATTGTAAATAATCAGTTCTGGTCATTTTCCTTCCATCTGTTCTCCTGGAGCTTTTAGTATCTTCTTCTATCTCTGGGATGCTAGAAGAACACAATAGGTTTGTTATTGACTTTTTCATCTTATAGAGGGGGGTGTTAAGTCTGCAGACTGCCTCCTCCTCTTTAATTTAATATTTGATGTTTTCTTTAGTTTTTGCTAATAGTCTGGGCATTCAAATGTTGTGCCTGTCAGACCAGTATTTCTTCACTAATATCAAATTTCCACCCCTTCTCATTTTATTATTTATCCATTGTTTCTGCTTCATAGGCGTTCCTTGACTTTGTGCTTCCAACCTTGCCTTGAAAGTTTTTCAAGTTTTGTTTCGTTTTGTTTTGTTTTGTTTTGTTGGTGTCGGGGATTGAACTCAGGACCTTGCGCTTGTGAGGCAAGCATGGTGCCACTGAACTACATCCTGGGCCTTAATAGTTTTAATTTACTCCTGAATTTCTTGCACTCTCACAAATTCCTTTGTCCCTGTGGCATTGACTGCTCTTGGTGGACAGTTCCCTGAAATGTATGGTCATCCCTGGCATTCTCTGGTTGGAAATACCACATGTGTGCAAGACTTTTTCTATAGAATATCTCTACTCGTTGTCAAGGCTAATTTTTTTATATTATATAAGTGAAGATTGTTTTCACGGTTAAATGATTTAGTGTATATAAAGCAAGTTATTACAAAATTGTAAAATAATTTTCTTAACATGGTGTTTTTAAAATACTCTGAAAATGGTTCCACCACCTGCCTCACAAGCACAAGGACCCAAGTTTGATTCCCCCCCAGTACCAAAAAAAACCTCTGAAAAGTATATGAAAATGATACACATTTTGTCACATTAAGCCAGAATAATAGACAGTCATAATAAGCCAGTACATTCAGAATTTTTATTTTGTGTTGGTTATAAATATTTATGATTTTGAGGTATTAATGGGGTTTTGGGGGGGGGTTGGGGGGGTTGGTTCTGGGGATCGAACTTGGGTCCTTGCACTTGCACAGCAGGCAGCAAAACCACTGAGCTAAATCCCCGGCCCAAGGTATTACTGTTAATAGCTATCTTTTAAAAATGGGAAATAAGGCATGGGTTCCTTTCTTTCTCTTTTTCTTTTCTTCCTTTCTTTCTTAAATTCTTCCTATGAATTCCACTGTGGACTAGTTGCATTCACATGGATGTTCTGTGTATTGTTCCGCTTAACAGACGTGAATTCATCATGTTGTTGTTCTCATGCTCACATCCTTAAAATGGTTCTCTTTGCCCACCAATCTCAGAGTCTTCGTTTTGGTGCAGTGGAGTCATGACTTGTAAGGTCGTTAGGTCTCAAACTCGTGAAGCACAAAATTAGGCATGCTCAAAGTAATCCTTTAAAAGCTCTTAAATTGCCTTTAATGATTTGAATCCCTGTGGAGTGATATGTAGGTCTGACTATATCATGCTTATAATAAGTACGGTATGTAATAAAACTGCCTACTATACTGCCAGTTAAAAAAAGAATGTTTTAAACATAATTTATATTTCAGAAGTCTCAAAAAATTCATTGTCATCTCTCTAGTACTACTGCAGATGAGAATTGCTAATGAATTGTATCAGTAGTAAGTTTTGTCTTCCAGATGCCAAAGGATTTTTAAATAATAATTTGTAAACATGGGTTGAACTCCCTAACTTGTTCTAAATTCTGTGCTCAACAGCCAGAGGTAAAAGCAGTAGGAGTCTTTCCTTCTCTGGAGAAGCTCAGTTTCTTAGCAGGGTGACACTGTGCAAACAACTGATGTCCTGTAATTAAAAAGGGAAATGTTTTTTCAGGGGAAAGTTTTACAATGTGGCTGCTGACAGAGGTATCCCAGAAGGTAGATGGGGTCAAATCTGTGGGACAGAGAGGAAGAAAAAGGGATTGTAGGCAGAGCAGTATGAGTGAGAAAAGAATGCATCCCGATGTATGTCAGAGAGCTTGGAGAATAACATGAATAAAACCTTGAGTGGCTGAGCCTTTCCATGGGAGTAATGGAATGGGAGTCCACCTAAAAATGAACTGAAAGGTAGATTCCCAAAGTTGTTTCTGACATCTGTTGTAGATATGAGAGAATCTTAAAAGTAGTGACTGTGCACTCTTGGAAAGGGAAGAGGCCCAGAGAGACTTATGGCCCTGGCTTGTTAGTGACCCAGCTTCCCTGCCACAGAATCCTTTGACCCTGAAACATTTCCTCCATCACACTAATACACTTAGTGTCAGTTAATTAGTCAATTAAGTAGTAAGCTTTTGTTTGCTATAGTAAACTGCTAATGTGGTGCCGGTATTATTTAAGCCATTACATTACATTTGGATTACTGAATAGTAGAAATAGAAAATCTCAACTGATTTTTATTGCTTAACAGAAAAACACTGACATCTTAAACATTTTATAATATTTACAAAGGAATTTGTACTAAGTGCTTATCAGGTTTCATGATAAGTACCATAGCAAAGGTAGCATTTTATAAGCCATTCCTCAGACATCCCTGGAAGCAAGTTTTCCTGTAGAGCCAGACATGATACCATTCTCAAAAAGTTGATGCAATATAAGAAATATCTTGATGCTTTATCATTTGACATTTTAACCCAGGGAAGTGCCCCAGCTTTTATAGGTTTAACTTACTGTGAAATTTTTTTCTACTTTTCTTTTACTTCAGGAATCTCCAGGACAGCTTACTAGGAAGTATAGCTCCTGCTCAACGATATTTCTAGATGACAGCACACTCAGCGAGCCTAGTCGTAGAAAAACAGTAGAATGGTGAGTACAGGAGGTTGCAGAAGCCTGAGGGACAGACCCCTACTGCTAACCCATTCCAACAATGCTAGGTAATTTCAGCCATATGATTATCTTCCTCCTTGCTCAGCTTAAGACATTGGGGCCAACTATCTATCTATCTTTCTATCTATCTATCTATCTATCTACACATATACTCATTTTAAGGGCCTCTAAATATGAATTTTTAATTTTTATTTTAATCTCAGACTGCATGTAGAAGGCAACACCAGTTAGCAAATAAGGAATCTCAGGAAAAATGTACCTCTTCATTTGATGTGCTTATATTTGAAGAGATTGTTAAACCTAAAGAGAAGAGGTGCTTTTCATTGTATGTTTCTAGAAAAAATATTATGAGTTTGGGGCCTAAAACAGTGTTCATTACTATAGAAACTCCTGTTGGAAGGAACAGTTTTTCCTCTGTTGGCACCACAGTGTATCAGCATTTGAACATTCTCTGTCGTATGTGAGCAACCTCATGGGTCATAGCCAGAGATGCACTATGAGAATCCCCTGACATGAGTCTTTCAAGCTTCTTAAAATGCCAACAGCAAAAACCAGCTGCAGAGCTTCTTCACTGTTTTAGGTTGGCTGGGGAACATTATCAATTTCCCTTTGGGTTATGAGTTTTGGTTTTTGTCAGTTCCATTGGAGCCTCCTGGGGGCCACTGGAAGGAGTTCACTATGCCATGAGTGTCCCCAGAAAACATGCAGAGCCAAGCACCATGAAAGCAGCAGGAGCAGAGCAAGCCAGAGCCACAGCTCAAGAGCTGCTCATCTTTTATTCCTTTAACCCTTTTGTTATCAGACATACTGAAAAACAACAGCTGCATGACCTTGCAGGCCATGCTGTACATGTGTAGTTGCCTATGCTAAGTCATTCTTACATAACTGTATTCCATTCTGTACATGCCCCTGATAGCGGGCTCATGTCCTCAGGAGTCCTTAACCCTTGGGGCTCTGACATCTTCCAAAGACCCCTACAGTTTGCAGGACATAATTTGTAGAATGTTAACCTCTCATCCCTAATTTTATTATTCAGTTGAAAAATATAATTAGCATATGAACTTAATTTTTTCTTTCATATGCTAGTTTTCATTTTTTGATAATTACCAGTAATTCCTACATCTGCTCAAAATTGCAAGTTCACACTTATGCTAAAATAACTTTTGTCTCACACTTACAAAACTGTTGAGATAAAATTGTATTTCCACAAAAATTGAACAGTAACCATGTCTAAAGTTTTGAAATATGCATCTGTCAAATAATTACTGAATGTTTGTATTCAGCCAAGAGCCTAAGTAAGTCCATGACTGAAAAACTACTCTCCTTTGATTACGGTTGCCAGCTTCTTTTGAATTAAAAACATTGTGATGTTTCATTGTAAAATTCAGTATAGAGTATTAGAGAGTAACCTTTCTCAAAGAAGTATGTGTCATGCTTATTTTCCTCCGCATGTGAGTCTAATTTATAGCATTCTGGCTTTCAAAGTGCCATAAGTTTTAGAAAGCTTTCATTTCATTTTTTTAGAATAATAATTTTGTACACTATTTTGGAAATAAAAGTTCAATAAGAGGAGAAGCAGTCTTTTAGGAAAGATTTTAAAAATATTTATCATGGGGTAATAGCCTGTTGTTCACAATAAGATGGGTAAGCCTTATTAGAATCACTTCTGCAACTTTTTCTAAACGTATGTTTGCAAACACATGCATTTTCTCCACCTTCACCTTCCCTCCTATCTATAGGCACTCTTGAACATTTTAGGAAATCAGGAGGGAAGGTGAGGTGTGATGATATAGACAAAAGCATCCCTAGGGATTCTGACCCTAACTGTGAAGTCTTCCCAAACTTTGGTGCACACTGGAAGCACCTGAGGAACTTGTACAACAGTCTTTATACCCAAACCATACCCCATGCCACTTAATCAGAATGACCTGAGGTAGAATTCAGGATGGTTTTTAAGCTCCTAGGGTGATTCCCCTGTGCAGGAACCTTTGGGAAGCACTGTTTACTAAGAACACAGGAGAAGAACTGCTGCTGACTGTTTGGTGGGACTTTAGGCACGCCATGGTTCCTTCGTCTGTAACAGTGGGTTTTAGGATAAAATTGTGAGTAAGGTTCGTTGAGCTTTTTCAGATATCAGTCTGTGATTAAAATTGATTTGGAAAGAAAACTGTTTGAAACATGATAGAAATGTTAAAACACTGACTAGACTTCCTAGAAAATTCAGATTTGCCTTCCCTCTGTGATGTTAAGCTTCATTTCAGATAGTGAGGTTGAGTGGAAGCATATTACTCACCTAAGGGAAAACCCCTGTGTTCCCTAATATACAACATCTGTGCATAATTCAGAAATACAGCAATGTATTATCTGAAGAGTTGTGTCTGCTTCTTGATATTTCATTTAAGCTTATTTGGAAATACTTGCCATGAGTATTACACGATGTAGACTCATACTACATTATTATCACTGATTATCTCAGGATGGCTATAATG